AGTGCTTTTTTATGCTTGAATGATAAATTGGTAACTGTTAAGTGCCTTAAGAGACAAAATATATATATTTCTCTGAAAATGGCTATGAACTTGACTAAGAATGTTTTGGGTTTTTTTGCAAAAAAAAAAAAAAAAAGCATACAAGAACAGTTTAACAAAATTACAAGAAAATCTGGTTCCCTGGAAGCAACATTGAAAGAAATACGGGTGGCTCGTGCATTTATAATATATTTTCTTCACCAGTGAAATGATCGTTTAAATAGCTGTAATACAATACAAAGGGAAGTCTGGTCAGTTGATAATTTGAGCAGATCAGGTTTAGGATTTATCAGGATATTCACACTAACTTAATTTCGCGGTAATTACTGAAGAAAGCTCTTTTTTGAAGAAGAGACATGAATACAGACATTTTTAGATTGTTCTAACTCCTATTCTACACCTGTGGTCCTCTTCAAACTGCACTGAAAACGGTATGTTTTATGGACAATGGACTTTGTCACAGAGTGTGCATTTGCTGTGCTTCGGATTTATTCTAGGGGGCAGCATTTTCTCTGCGGCACATTCTGCTACCGGAAATAAGGAAGACGAAGGAAGAAGAAGAAGAGGCTTACTCTCCGTTAGCTACCTAGCTACTGCTTGAAAGTAGCGACAAAATATTCAGGTATTGTGATAAAACTACCCATTATGTGGACATTATGTAGTATATAAATACTAATAGAATATAATTAAATATATTAAGGCTCGTCCTTGATGCGTTTATCCGAAGTATATGCTTTTAAAGGTGCAGGTTATCTTTGTTTTGATTCGTGTTGACGAAAGTCAGGCTTCAGTGTTGTGTTTTTCAGAGAAGGCCCAAACTATTGTTACGTAGAATTTCATATGTCATGTTGTCATGTTGCAGTCACACTGAAGGAATTACAGTTAGTTACATAAACCGTTAATACTACATAAGCCAATATTCTCGGTGTCTAAAATTATATCTTTTTAAATTGTAAACATAACCCCGATGCACTCCTGCAGGATCTTATCATAATGAGTTATGCAGAGAAGCCGGAGGATATAACAAGGGAGGAGTGGATGGAAAAACTCAACAATGTCCACATCCAGAGGGCTGATATGAACAGACTCATTATGAACTACCTGGTGACAGGTGAGGTATCTTTTTGTGGTTTTTGTTACAGAAAGTTGGGTTTCAGATGTCTATTCTTACAGACATCTGAAGCCAAGTACAGATGTGAGTGTGGATTTTGGGAGCGGATTTTTTCTTATGTATATATATTTTTTTTTTCCTGTCCAACAGAGGGTTTTAAGGAGGCAGCAGAGAAGTTCAGGATGGAGTCTGGGATAGAGCCTAGTGTGGACTTGGACTCCTTAGATGAAAGAATTAAGATCAGAGAAATGATCTTGAAAGGACAGATCCAGGATGCTATCGCCCTAATCAACAGTCTGCACCCAGAGCTGTTGGACACAAATCGTTACCTCTACTTTCATCTCCAGGTGAGACATCTCAGCTTTGTACTTTAATAACTGCTTCTTGTTATGTATGCCTTGCTATTTTAACACCTGATTGCATCCATGGCTTTCTGGTTTTTGCAGCAGCAGCATCTTATTGAGCTGATTCGTTTGAGGGAGACTGAAGCTGCCCTTGAATTTGCTCAGTCTCAGCTAGCAGAACAGGGGGAAGAAAGCCGAGAATGTCTGACAGAGATGGAGAGGACGCTGGCCTTGCTGGCATTTGACAACCCAGAAGAGTCACCTTTCGGAGACCTCCTTAACATGATGCAGAGGCAAAAGGTAGAATCAGCACATTATAATTATTATACACACATTATAATTTTAAACTGATTTACTGTATAGGCAAAGTGTCCTTTAACTGATTGAAGGGAACATTCTAGCAGTTTTACATAAGAAGCCAATTTAAATTATCAGTACTACTCTCACCCAGTGAGCGTTTGTAAAGTTCAGTTCAATTCAGCTTTTTTTATGTTTTGCGAATTTACAACAGTCAATTCAGGGAATTTTATATTATTAGGTTTAAACCCAACAGTATTACAAAGATAACTCCAACAATCAGACAGTCCCTTATGAGCAGCAGCTTGTGATGGTGTGAGATAAAAACTCCCATCAACAGGAAGTGACCTTCATCCTGTGACGTCTGCTGTAGTTCTGAAGACAGATTTTTATAATCTGAGAACATCAAATGAAGTGATCTCATTTTCATACACAAGACATTATTCTATATGTTGCTTTCTGTTTTTTTAGGTGTGGAGTGAAGTAAATCAGTGTGTACTAGACTATGAAAACAGAGAGTCAACCCCGAAGCTGGCCAAGCTCCTGAAGCTGCTGCTGTGGGCTCAAAATGAACTTGACCAAAAGAAAGTGAAGTATCCTAAAATGACTGACCTCAGCAAGGGAACCATTGAAGACCCAAAATAAGGATCAAAGTGAAAAAAGTACCACAGCATCACAAGATGGACACATTTCCTTTATCTATTCATACCCCGCAACAAACTGACTCATATAGAGTACAACCTTTTCTTTTTGTAAGGGTTGCTTTTTGATACTTTATTAACTCAGAATGTGCAGGAAACTGGATGGCATTTTAAAATGACCTCTCACACTAAAGTGACGTGCAAGTATTTCACTTGGTATTCTAATTTACATATTTGTTTATATAAAATTAGTATACTTAAGTTACACTAGTTTTTCTGTCTTTTGGCAGGGAAAGTTGTTGGCATTGGAATGTGTGAATAAAGCCTAAATTAGGCTATCACTTTCTGTGTGTAACCACTTAGAGGAGGAAAAGTTTGATCAGGATAAATGGTTGGCTTAGTGTGCACTGCTTCAAATAAACATATATTCCATCCCTAGAAAAAAAGTTCGCTCTGCTAAGCTGTTGGTCTTTCAGCTACTACTCTTGTGTGATGACAGTAGCCACAACTTGATACTTGGGGTGTTTGAAGCTACTGTTACCTTTTAAAGTTAAAATCTGCTTCAGATTTTATGCTGTATTGTTGCTTGAGGCATTATTAAAAAAAAGATGCCCACAAAGACTTTCAGACTAAATATAATATTAGCAATAGAGGGAAAATCTAGGAGATTACCGGAATGCCATCAAGTGTAAAGGCAGCCTCAGTTTCAGTGTTTTGAATACTGTTGATAATGTTTAAAGATGTGAATGGATAATGTGTCCGCAGACATGGAGGCACTTTTACAGATGGATTTATTTACATTTATGAAACCAGTCGCTGTTTTGCAAAATTTAATGTGCTTTTCTTTTTTTGCTGGGATATTATTTTGCAATAAAAGTGGGATTTTTAAACTGGGCAAGTGTTGAAAGACTTGGTGTGTTTCAATTCTAGAGACTTCAAACTGTAGAGGTAAAGAGCAATCAAGTATATTTAATTCCATTAAAATTCTGGTATATGACAGCTTACCAATTACATTAAACATTACCATGTTATACTGACTGTTACCAAACAAACAATATCATACTTTCACTTATAGGAATTCACTGAAAGAGACACAATGATGAATGACATGCTGTGAAACAAGTGTTCACTTTATTAACTCTAGAAAGTGTCCTGCCTGTGAATCATACTTATTACTGATGCATTCATGTATAGGTGATCTCTAATGAGAGTAGGGAGAGATGGAAGAGAGCCTGGAGTGGTGGAGGTATGTTCTGGAGTATAAGAAGCCAGATGGAGTACATGTGAATGAATAGGAAAAAGATAAGTGGAAAGGTGAACATGCAAGGAGGAGATCTAGTGAGATGACATGAGTTTGAAAACCTGGGGTCTGTCATCCATAGCAACTAACAGTGCACAAGAAAGATGAAGAAGAAAGTGCAGGCAGGGTAGACTGGGTGAAAATGGTTGTCGGGGAATTTGTGACAGAAGGACAGCAGAAAGAGTGAAAGGGAAGGTTTATAAGATGACAGTGAGGCCTCTGCGTGTTTGTATGGATCCATGGTTTGGAGACAGTGGCACAGACAAAAAGGCAGGAGGCAGACTGAAGCTATTAAGATTTGTATTGGGAGTGACAAGAATGGACAGGATTAGAAATGAGCATATCAAAGGGACAGCTTAGGTTAAGTGCTTTGGAAACAAAGATAAAGAGGCAAGGTTGTAATGGTTTAGACATGTGCAGAGGAGGGAAAATGGATGTGCCAGACAAAGATGTTGAATATGGAGATGCCAGACAGGAAAAAAAGAGGAAGAACACAGAGAAAATTCACTGATGTATTCAAAGGATTCAAATTCAAAGGATATTCAAAGGATTGGTGTAACAGAAGAGTAAGCTAGTGATTGGATGAGATAGAGACAGACAACACACTGCGGTGATATCTAAACGGTGACTAAATATGCAACTAAAAAATCTTAAATTCTTAACTTGCCCTTGCGGACAGTCTTTATCCTTCAAGCTTGGGTCTTTGCTGTTCCTGGAACTGCACTCTTCTGAACAGAGATCTACCAGTCTATCCACTCTACCAGTCTGGGGGTCACTGTTGGCTTCACCCTTCAAATCTGTTTGAGTACTTCTCTCAGCCTTTGGTATTTCTCAAGCTTCTGAGAATTCCTTCTACCTGATGTTAAAATATAAAATATAAATTAAGGTTAAAAATGAAATAACTGTACAACACAAATTAGAATGAAGGGTAAATTTAACTGGGAGAATAAGATAAAATATATAAATTAAAGTTGAAAATAAAATAACTGTACAACAAAATACACAATATAGAACTATATAAGAATGTATGAAGAAATAGAAATAAATATATACACAATAACAGCAGTGTGTATATATATGTGTGTGTGTGTGTGTGTGTTTGTGTGTGTGTAGGTGAAGTCTGCTGTTAATTTGTCCTCTTATTTTACTATCAAAAAGTTTGTTACTTTACACTGTTGCCGTACATTAATTCCCACCGGCAACCAGCATACATGCTGTGACGTGTTATGTAACAATTTCCTGCTAACTCAGTATAGCCGGGGGAGCATTTCAGCAACCTTCTAGGTACTGCGCATTTTGGTGCCCCATCCCGACAGCTGCATCTCAGCACGGGGAGAATCACATCTTCATCCGGCAAGGACAGCTCACCGACAGAGCCCATCCTGGTTCTCCGCGGAGGCTCTGTTTCTACTTGCAGTACTGCATCGTCATCATCGCCGAGGGCCCGGAGTCACAGGCGTCTCTCTGACGTTTCAGATGATAAGGTAACGGATGAAGCAGCCGGGCTAAACCACTTCCTGATTAACCCTAGCGACGACAAGAAGAACTGCTGCGTGGCTGCTGGCTGGAGGAGGAGGCAGGGAAGAAAAACTGACACGTGGATTACTCCTCCTAGGGCATCAGGAAAAACAGACTGCCCCCCCTTCTAGCTCTGTTTCGAATACGGCGATCACCTCCTCTCTCTCTGTTAGTCCAGTTTTACAGGGTATGGAATTCACCGTCAGGATCCTATGATGTGATTTCGCGCATACTTTTAGGAGAAGATTTCCCCTTTTCACCCGAACGCTTACTTTTCTCACTGATCGACCGGAAAGGGAAGAAAGTGCAGTATACCCGGAGCGGTTGAGAAGAGGCTGCCGTCCGTCACCTCACGTTGAATGGCAGTTATTCAAAAACATGGCAAGACCTATAGTCCAGATTTGGTCTGTCACAAGGACAACCACCCGCCCGCCAAGATCGTCCCCGGGTGTCATAAGAAGTGGCCTGAACACAACACCAGCTGGTCAAGGTAACCGTTGGTAACACCAACTCATCGGGGCTCGTTTTAACCATGTTTTAACAACTCTACTAAATCAAACCCACCGCCTAAAAGGCTCACAGAGGCCATATGGAGGGGGGAGAGTTTTTAACTTTTAAATCGTTAATGACTCTTAATGCCTGCCGGTCCTCTCAGGGTTTCTGAAGTGCTGTATCTGGTGGTGACACGTATCTTTTCTGGCCTTTCATGGCTCAGTGTTTTTATGCAGTGCTGTTTTGGCTAAAAAGAAGGAAATAATAGTGCTGCCTTTATGAAAAGACTGCCATAAACTATTATAAAGTTACGATGTACATTTTGAATACTAGTATCTTATGTATAAATCTAACCAAACCATGTTAGAACCCATCACCACTAACCCCTGTTGAATGCCCTACAGGTTGGACTTGCTTCCGCCACATACTGTAGATAAGACAGCCCCTACGAACTGGTCTAACAAAGCCAAAGTTTGTCCCCAGCTGTTGGGGGATGTGCAGCCAAATTCAAATTGTTCTGCTCTCCTCCGGTGCAGGCCTGTGGCAAGGATATGGACAGTGGTGCTGCTGCTGGGGACGTGCCTCCTGTACTGCGCCCGTGTGGCGATGCCCATCTGTGCCGTCAGCATGGCAGAGCAGTTCGGCTGGAGCAAGAGGGAGTCCGGCATGGTACTGGGCAGCTTCTTTTGGGGCTACTGCTTCACTCAGGTGTTCGGAGGCTACGTGAGTGACCGGTAAGAAACCGCATGCTCTATAAGTTGGTAGGCTCTGGGTTTATGATTGAGAATCATCTTGAGTCTACAGAACTCTGAAGCGGGTCTTCAGTTGGCATCTGTTCTAGTTTTAGAGTTGTAATTAAAATCAAGTCGCTTTATGTTGAACCGTGCTGGCACTGACGTAAGCAGCCCAGTGGTGTTTGCTCAGTCTACAGAGCGAGATGTTTGCCCTGTAATGTCATGTTAAGTCACAGTGTCATTAACAGATAAGCTGCATGGGTGTCTGCACAGTATTTTTTTTCCCACTCTAGAAACTGTTAACAGTCCAAAATACTTGATCTAAATGCTCACCTTATTTAGATCAAATATTCTCTATGATTATATTTTCAGCCAAAGTTATCCAAAAGATTAAAACCTCTTAATGTGTTCTTCCAAGCTGATATCTTAGAAGTCAAAAGTTGATATCTTAGTAGGCCAAAGTTAAAGCTAATGCAACCCATCTGTGCTCTGTTCACAGGGTGGGAGGTGAGAAGGTCCTCCTGCTGTCTGCAGCAGCCTGGGGTTCAATGACAGCTTTCACCCCAATCCTGGCCCACTTCTGCTCCCAGCCGATCCTCTCTATGACACTAGCTCGCTTCCTCATGGGCCTACTGCAAGGTGAGATTAGCGGCGTGCAAGATGAATCACCACTTGAGATTACATTAGTGAGGTGTAAGATCCAGGTAATGAAAAAGGTCTCGGACAGTACTCCCATCGGTCGCAGTTTCGGGTTCCCGATAACTGCCAGACTTATTTGCATCTGTAATTGCTGTTTTTCAGTCGTATGTCCCTGCCAAAAAGTCATGCTTCCGTTTAAATGGACTCACATTGTGAAGACTTCTGAAATACAGTGTTGAGTGAGGGCCAGAAGTTTTCTGATTATTTTTCAGACCTTTAACATGCAAATATGCAAATCTTTGACCTTTTGAATATAAAATGTCTTGGTAAAATGGTCTTTCATTTATTTTTTGTGGCATTTTTTACAAAATTCTGTTTGCAATGCATCTGCTTACTGTCTGCATCAGGGAAGTCGAAATAATCTATCTGACCCACATGAACTCGTGCAGACACTTGTTAAAGTCCTTGTTGGTTCATGTTTGCGGACGTTTGTCTTGTGTTTAATGATTCAATTTGTCAGTCACACTTACAAGGATTGTGACTTGAACGTGTCCACTGCAGAGACAACAAAGAAATGCTAAAAACACCCTTGCACTAGCTAGTCTTTTAATGTTAAAAATGTGGGATCCCAGGAATCCAAGATCTTTGAGTATCCTACATTCATCATGGCTACTTTATATATAGAAAACAAATAATAATTCTCATATTTGTTGAGCAATCAAGACATATTTACCTCTGCTGGTGGGATGTTCGATTTGTCAAACAGACATCTGTACTTTGCTTTGTTTGGCTTTAGAACAGCGATTAAGTTTAGTCATTTAAAAGTGTCCTTAAATTGATTTGACTGCATTGTTTTATTTCAAATAACCCAGCACAGTATCATATGTGCTACTCTGTTTCTATTTTCTGTCACATTTTTATGTTTGTCTTATTAGACAATAATGTGTAACGTTCTTCCGCTGAACCTTAAGCCCTTCTAAAATTTGGCTATGCTTTGTGTTTTCATGTCAGGAGTTCATTACCCCTCTCTTGCAAGTCTGTGCTCACAAAAGGTGGTGGAAAGTGAAAGAGGCTTCCTCATGAGCACCGTGGGTAGTGGCTCCTATCTGGGGTGAGTCAAGTGTTATGCAATAACTGGGTAGTAGTGAGAAAAGGCTGAGTGTTCCTTCTTAGTTCATTATTGGGTGTTTTTATTGCAAAACAAGAAGGTTTTTTGTGCTTTTATTGATTTTAATAGCAGTTACTATTACATATGGTGATTTTATTGTTTCTGTAAAAATGTATAAGGAAATTTCACAATAAAATTCTGTCATACTAATCACATGCGGAAATGTCTTTTTACAGGGTTGTGTTTTAACTTGTCATGTTGTTGTGGTTTTATTTCCCAGCACTCTGGTAATTGGGGGGGCAGGCTCCCTCATGTTGGACCTTTACGGCTGGCAGAGTGTTTTTTATGTTTCTGGACTCCTTTCAGTCCTGTGGGCCTACTGCATGTGGAAATATCTACTCAAAGGAGAAGGCAAGTGATGCTTCAGCTGTGTCAGTAGTTTCTGTGCTGTCTCTTATCTTGTACCTGCTCAGCTGGAGTCAGCATCTTCTTCTGTGCTCATGTTCCTGTATTTTATCTGTGTTTTGTAGGGCCTATAATCACCTTGGAGTCCCTGGGCAGCAGTGGAGCCCAGTCCAAACTGACCAAAAGACATTGGTTACGGCTCTTAAAACAACCTGCTGTCTGGTGAGATAAAGCCTGTGTTTATTTATGAGGGTGTGACTTTATGTGCAATTGCACCTATAATTTTTGCACACATATTTTATGCTCTGTGCACATGTGCAGTACTGCATGCTTGTTTTCATATTCAGATGGATAAGCAGCAATAATCTTGCCTGTGTGCCTTCAGGTTCTGATGTAATGCTTCGGCTGATTTACTGCAACCTCAAAATTTCAGAATACTAATTGTAACCATTGCATGTGTGTTGAGCTAGAAGGAAAAAAGAAATGGGTGGAGGAATGTGGAAATATGTAAAATATCTTATTATTGGATTTATGTTGGTGTTCCTCAACTGTCTGAATCATGTCTCTGAGGTCTTTTCCTTCCAGTCCCTCCCTATGACCTAGATATTTATACACTGTAATACACCTGATGTGCTCCATTTTCAGTGACACAGAGTACATGTGTGGTCTTAATTGATCTGATCCCTGTTGACACCTGCTGTTGACTCACTTTAACATAATGCATCATACCTTCATAGAGGTATCGGTTAATAACAAATAGCACAGATACAAACCTTTGTCTAATAGGAAAAACAGTATCTAAGTCAATGTGTCATTGTGTGCTAAAAAACCCAGAGCGAGTAGTTGTGTAATTATAATGGGCTCACTGAGACTTGTTTTTCTTCATTCAATAACCAGTGCTGTAATAGTGACGCACCTCTGCACGGCGAGCACCTTCTTTACTCTTTTGTCATGGCTGCCAACATTCTTTAAAGACACATTCCCCGATGCCAAGGTAACTATTTTCTCATGACTCCTTTGATTATTAGAGAAACCAATCAATAAAAAAAGGGCTTAAGGGATAAAAATATGAAATACCGCACCTTTATTTACTAGACTTAGAGTCTACAGCCATGTGAGTGACTTTGTGAAAGTAGAATTAGATATAAAGGTGCTTTGAACTATGTTCTAAGTTTTGCAGTTATATAAATCAAAACTCTGAATAGGTTAAAATTTTGACCAAATGGTGGCGCTTGAGGAAAAGTCAAGGAAAAATGCACTCTTTTGTAAACTCCTGTTTTGAAGCTTTGATTTTAGAATTTTGGCCATCACCATCCTGGTTTCATGGAACCAGAAGTGACCACTTAAATGACACTGTGGAGGATTCATAGACTGCATTGCACAGACACAGATATCTGCTGAATAACATACGAATAAAATACTACAGTTTGACTCTTTAGAATTCACATATAGGCTGTAGGAAAAAATAACCAGCAAAAATGGTGCCAGCAATATTATATGTCAGGTAGTTGCATTAAACAGGCTCCAAAAGGCACAAGTAACACAAGTGCAATTGAGTCATCTGGTTCAGTGACTCAAATTAGCTGAGGTGAACTAGCTTTGGACATCTTATTCTGCATCTTTTAAGACTTAATGAAATTTAAGAAGGAGATTACAAGAAAGGATGAAAAATAAAATCAACCTCCCAGAACTGTTATGGAAGTAGATATTAGGTGGGGGGTTTTTTTGGCCAAAACCTCCTTTTTTGTACTAGGCTGCAAACATGTTTACTTATGGTACAATGTTGAGCATTTTAACTTGAAAATCTGTCTGACCAAGCAGCTGGAAAAATTACAAGAACTATAGTTCCTGGAGGGGCCACTTGAGCCTGGCTGCAAAACAGAGGCAATCTCCATAGATTTGCATGCTAAAATGTCCAAATTAACAAACACCACTGCAAAGCATGTTTACAACCTAGCACAAAAATGGCCCACATTCATAACAGCTCTACAATTGGTGGGTTTTCTTGTTGTTTTAACTCGTGGTTTTTCTAAGATTTTTAGCTGTGGCCGCTTTGATTGCCAGATTTGGTGATGTAGGCAGCTGGTTTGTCAGGTATATTTGTATTTAACATACTTGAAGAACAAGTATATTTAGCACCCTGCCATATTTCCTAAACATGGGTTCCTCTGGTTCCTTAAAAGCATGACAGTGACTAAAATGCTATTGCTTAGGCTTTAAAATGCAGTCAAGAAACCACTGGGTTTCTACATCCATCTTCTAAAAATAATTTTTAAGACTCGTCGACTTTTTAAAGCAACATTAAGTCACAGTTATTTGTCATTAATTGTTAGGATCATCATCACTGAGACAGGTCACTAAAACAGCACATGTCCTTGATACACTACACGAAGCTGGCTGCTGTATGTGGTCAAATAAAGCCCAAAAATATTTTATCTTTCCAGGGCTGGGTGTTCAATGTCATTCCTTGGTTAGTGGCCATACCGTCATCCCTCTTTAGTGGCTGTCTCTCTGACCACCTCATCAGTCAAGGTAAACAATAGGAGAAATAAACTGTACATCAGTATTATTTTAAATGTTTAGTGCACTGATATCGTTACATTGGACTTCCCTAATCTCTCTTCTGAATCCCTCAGGCTTCGATACAGCATCAGTGAGGAAGTTGATGCAGGTACGATATTTCTCAGTTGTTCAGTTATTCTGTTGTATGTTGCATGTTTAGTGTGATTCTTCTTCCCAGTACAAAGTGCATGACTGTCCTGTTTACACTGCTTATGCAATGAATTATGTACAATTGTGTTTGATGTGGGGTTTTTTAATGTATCCATCCCTCTGTGTTAGTTTTTCTCCATGGGTGTGTCCAGTGTGTTTACCCTTCTTCTGTGTGGCACAACTACCTTCCCCTGGGCTGTAGCATTTGTGTCTGCCACCATGGGCCTCACCACCTTCAGTCACAGGTACTGCCACCCATTGTTTCCTCACACTCTGTAGCTGTATTCACACTTATGCTGCAGCCCTGAACTTTTCTAAACATTACCCGACAGAGGTGCTTATGAGAACACATTGATCCCACGTGACTGGATCAAATATTAAATGGTCTTTAACCTGCTTGTTCCTTAGTAAGAAATGTTTTGCCCCATTGTGGGTATTTGTGCAGATGTGAGGTTAGCTTTACATGTGAATGTGGTGTTTCCTGAGAGATTGTTTTGTGTTTTGTTCACTCAAACTTGATGATACAATTTCAGAATATTACCCTTATTTGCATAGCTGCTTAGAAATTAAATGTTAAATATTTCACCACTCCGCCCCCCAGTGTACAACTTTGTATTTGAAAAAGTCTTAAATCATGCTGCTTGGCTCAGGCATAACCAAGGAAGACTTGGCAGATCTCAGCTTTTATTAGGCATGCAGTTTGTCTAGTTGTCATTGTATCGGATCAGTGTCTGTAAGCATTTATGTTTTAACCACTTTACCTAGTAGTGCCTTATTACATTTGGTTTGTCTTGGAATTCGTCATCCCAGCTACTAACAGGGCATAAACATCGACTTTAATTATAATAAGTTAAAATAACTTCCAAAGTAAATACTGCATTTTTTTTAAAGAATGCATCAATGCATGTTTGGTGTGCTAATAAGTATGCAAGCCAACTTGGGTTTATGGTAATGAAGGTACAGCCGCTACAATGGTATGATTCATTGATGTGTATTTAATAACTTGTGAACAACACTGGAGCTCTTTGGCACAGAGGAACATTTTAAAAAAGAGTGACTAAAGAAAAGGATAAAAAAGAATAAGAAAACAATGATCAGTTCTTTGGTGGTTTGGGATTTGTTCAAAGCAATAAGATATCAAAAATATCCATCCATCCATTCGCTTCCGCTTCTCCTTTTCAGGGTCGCGGGGGGGGGGGCGGTGGAGCCTATCCCAGCTGTCATAGGGCGAGAGGCGGGGTACACCCTGGACAGGTCGCCAGTCTGTCACAGGGCCAACACACAGGGACAGACAACCATTCGCGCTCACATTCACTCGCACATTCACACCTAGTGGCAATTTGGATTTTCCAATTACCGGTAACCTATCCTCACAAGCTGCATGTCTTTGGACGGTGGGAGGAAGCCGGAGTACCCGGAGGGAACCCACGCAAACACGGGGAGAACATGCAAACTCCACACAGAAAGACCCCGGCCTGATGTTGGAATTGAACTCAGGACCTTCTTGCTGTGCGGCAACAGTGCTAACCCTATCAAAAATATATCTAAAAATAATCAGATATCCTTTAAATGAAATTGTGAGTGCACTTCTTTTAGTGTATTCAGTTGCATATTGAAAGGGGAAGCTTGAGGAACAATGACCATGGTAACCATCAATGACTTTGCATCTGTTCATTAGCAGCCTTTTACCAGCCATGTGGTTTTTCTGTTTGATAAAATAGTGTTTATGTGCTTAAAGAAAAAAATAATTTCCTTCCTTGTTACTAAAGCTGATTCTGAAGTATGATTTCACTAACTCAGAAGGTACAGCAACCGTGGCAGTTGGTCTTGAATCAACTGTAATCTCCACATTTTGATTTTTTTCTTGAAATTCTAACTTTATTCTCAAAACAATCATCAATATAGATTTTTTTCTAACTGTGGCCCTAATACTACATTTTATACATATTTGAATGGTGTAAATAAAAAGTATAAGTTATATACATGTATTACCTCGTAGTAATAATCAGTAAATTTAATGATTATGATGTGGACAAAAAATGTATTTCATTTTGTTTTTATGTGGCTCCATTAATGATATTTCGAACTCACTAAAGAAAATCTATTCTTCACTCTGGTTCCAGCCTTGATGACTAAAAGAGAGTGGAATTGATATAGATATGTTTACAATAAACCAGTAAATATGCATTCAGCAGTAGCACAGTACAGACACAGATTTTCTCTCCATCTGTTTTTTTATGGGAAAGAATGCCATTCAGAGTTAGGCTTATACTCTGTTGCGGTTTGGGATGTATTTAGAGTCATTTCTGAAGTTCAAATTGACAATGACATGTTTTTCTTTTGCAGTGGTGTTTCTGTAAATGTTCAAGATCTTGCTCCGTCCTGTGCTGGCGCTTTATTTGGTAAGTTCTAAAAATGTGTTTTAGAACAATGGCAAAATGTCACACCTTACGAGTAATTACTGTACATTTCTTTTCCAGGCGTTATGAATACATGCGGTGCTTTCTCAGGTGAGTTTGTATTAATTAAAAAAATATCTACATGTCATTAATCTTTTACCAGTAGTTGCTTCCATGCTTTTAAGTGAAATCATTGATTCACTTCTTTAAATTCAAACTTTGAGGTGATGTGCTGAATGTCAGTCCCGCTTGTCTCTTTGTCCCATTCATATTTCATCAAGGGACCATGATGAAGTTTGTGTCAGATGAATAATACAGGGATGAGGGGATGACAGTTAGTGGTCCTGTGAGGGACACAGAAAAGATTGACATTTTCTCTGTAGAAATTTAGATGTGGGACAAATTGAATAGTTTTGCCACTTAAAAGACACTGCACATGTTGTTACCCTCTTTGTGCTGCTTTGCTATTTATAGCTACTCTGTGTTCCTGTGCAGGGGTCTTAATGGTGTACTTCTCGGGGTATCTCATTGAGGCGACAGGCTCATGGGCTTCTGTGTTTGCCCTCATCACCACGGTCAACCTGCTTGGCCTCTGTACCTTCCTGGCATTCGCTGAGGCACGCCGGGTTGACATTGACTCTACTAAGTTCCGCCACCACAACATACACATCTAAATCGTCAGTTATTGGAGGGACCTGAATGTGACCTCGGGCAACCAGCAGCTGCGATATTATCCAGCGCATAGATGGAACTGCACACAACAATTATGAAAAGTTTGATTGGCTCTGTGGTTGTTTGACTGCAACAGCAGCACACAGCAGAGCCTGCACAATGTTACTGAAAAGTCTTGTCGGGCTTTAACCTTGGATCCTGGAAAGAAGACAACTGTGTTAAAGGGTGCTGTGCTAGTTAAAGAAGAACATGGAAGTAGGAAAGACTACACTACCTCCAGGCTCCATGGAAAATAGTTTACACTTAACATGTGTACAGACTGTGTTACTTAGGAACAAGAAAATCAAACAGATTGTTAACTGAAAGCCATAGCCCACTGCTCTGCTGTGTTTGTGCCGAAGGAGCTGTGAGAGTGATGGATGTGTCACTCTCCGGAGTGAGAGCTGTGACAGACCGAGGTGGTTTGTTTTTGCCCTGCAGGGATGGGTTAGGCGGCGTGGATGACACAGGGAGAGTCCAGCCTCTCATACCTGAAGTCTTTTATTAGTACGCCTCACTCAGCCGTCACTGAGAGATCTGAGTGACACCTCATTACCCAGCCACTAATTACTTTAAAGGCGGTTTAATGTCCTATACAATTTACCTTCTGTGGTTCAAATCACCAAGAGCTTTATGGCAGCAAGGCTTTGCCTAGGCGCTCTCGCTGATCGTTGTCTCCAAGGGTTTGTTTTAAGTTGAAAGACCAAAGGTTATTAATTAATTTAAATAATTGTATTTTCATTATTTGTAATTGCATGGAATAGAAATACCTCACCTAACTGCTTTGAGTAATTTTATATTTATATGGATAGAGTTTGAAAGACTTTCTTTTTTTAAATTGTGTTAAATAGACAACAAATATATCTAAATAATCACCAGTGTGATATCATAATAATGTAAAAACAACACATGCAGACAACACGATTCTTCAAGAAGACTTTTTAGGTTGCATTATTATCATCGCACTTAATACCTTTGTTACTTAGGCACTAGACAGGAAGTGATATCAGTATTTGGGAGGGCATCCATTAACTTTTCATGATAGATAGTGCTAGCTGTCACTAAGGCAGTTTGAAATAGTCTCCAAGTTACACAGTGACGTTATGAATGTTAGGGGACAGGCGAGATAACGATAAATTATCGGATTCAGTACAATCGAACTGGAAACCTATGTAGCAACGTAAAACTAGCTGCATAACTCCGTCTGAAGATTTAGCTAAATGTAATGTTTATCTTTGGCGTTCACAGTTTTACAAGTTCTGTTTTCATGTTAGGTCCAGATGCTTATTTGATACCTTAAATCTATGCATTTATTGTTTTGTGCCTCAGTTGAGCAACAAGAAAACTGCAAGACATGCACCTTCGTGGTAACAAAGTGTCAAGTGCTGATTGCTGTACATTGCTGATAGTTGCCTTATTTGTTGGATTTTTGTTGCCTCTTTGTCTTTTGTTACTGTTATTGGCATACAACTCCACATTGGCTTATATTTTCTAGGATTTTATTCCATGTATACTTGGAGGTGTAACATGAAGTGCATTTCTGATGTTGGCATTGTCACTTGTTACAAAAAAGAATGAAGTCATTGGATTTATTTAAAGCGCAGCTCTCCGTCTTTCAGAAAAAAAGAAAAGAACATTTCTTTACCTATTTATTTTTGTGTTTGGTAGAAAAACATAATCCTAAGTAGCTATAAATTATGATTACCTTTTTAAAAACTCTTATCTAAAATCGAGTATCTTTCCCCAAATCTCTTAAAATTCTGTTCCAACACTATGTTTTTAGTGTGGCCGTACACAGAGTGTGTTTTGCTTGGGTGTATCGATATCCACGTATTGGTATTGTTCCGGGATCATCATAATTAATGTTCGTTAGGGTGTGATTTTGGGCTAGGGTTAGTGTTACTGGCTATAGTTATGGTTATGAGCTTGTGATGACATCACAACATAGGTTTTGATGATCCAGCAACAACACAAATGCGGGGACATCAGATCATGCTTGTGTTTGTGTCTTACATAAGACTACTGTACAAAAGAATCACTCTTCAATAGTTTGTTTTTTTTCTTATGCTGGATCTCACAGTTGCTTGCACTGCACTATTTACAAATGCCCACATGCCTCTTTTTTTTGTTATGTTCACATCTTGAAAATGTAAACCTTTTACATTATAAATAGTTTTCGCCAACATATCTTACTACAGGTTGCTGAAAGCCTTCTGTCAAATAGTTTTTGATAACCTGTAATGTACACATTAGATAAAATAAAATGCAGTATTCTAATGTGTTTCAGATATACTGTATTTAAAAGCTCTTGAGTTTGAATAAAAAAAATATATTTTTGTCAACTATTTTGAGTTTCTTCAATATGTTGCACAGAGAAATTACTGCGTGTATTTTCTCTGCATCTCCACAGAGAGGCAGTGCAGCATCAGTAATGAGGCGAGCACACGGCGTGCTTCCCAATCTCCAGATACTCCACAGTTCCTGTTATGTATAAAGGGGTCCTCCTGTTTAACAGCATACCCATGAAGTTTTCATGAATGTCGATTTGCAGCAAATATCGCCAGCTTCTGCACGAAAGAGCCTTTTCATACACAAAGCGTTCAAGCTTTTCAGGAACCATAAAGGTTTGTCCTGGGAACCTTTTATTTGGACTCCATTATTTAGACCAGTCCAAAGCAGGTTCCATCGCAGGTTCGTCGTGTTCACACTACCGGCCACACTACAGCCCCGGATCCCGAGTCCAGGCCAGCAGTACTTATGTGGTGGCACCATATGGCAGGATGCTGTGTGCCATGTTGGCTAGCTGGCACTACCCACGTGCGAATGGCCAGACGCTAGTCACTCCCCCTCATGGGACCGAATGGCTCGGGTTGCTATGGAGACGGATGGCTTGTGGCTGCCGCGTGGCGATGAAAAGAAAAAAAAAAAAAGGAGGGGTCACAAGTGAGTGAAAGTAACAAGTCAGATAAAAGTCAGAGGAGCGGAGCGGGTTGGCAGTGAATTTAGCTTTTTGATGTACAGTTCATATAAAAAAAGAAAACACGTCGGTGTTAAAGAGATGGCCAGTCACTTACTGGAGTGCTCTCACTGACACAAAATGGTGTTGTAAAAGCAGACATAATCATGATGAGTGGCCCACTATTTAATTAGCAGAGATGAAACACTGAGGGGAGAGTAGAGGAGAGAGGGGGAGATAAACCCTCCCCACCTCCTCTCTACTTGTTGGCTGGTAGGAGTAACCCAGTAAATGCAGGGCCCATCAGAGAGCCAGAGATACATGTAAATGAAATAGCCCCATTAATTAGTAATTAACATCAAGTTAATGACATTTCACTGTGTCGCCATCTCATCCTATGTCCTTCCTCTGTGGTGGAGGGGTTGTCTCTCGGGTCCCTGATCTGAATGCTAATTAGTGAAAAGCTAAAATGCTATATAGGACTACCTAATAATATAGAGGCCCAGTTTAAGACTGGTCATTGTTAGGGAGGATTAATCACTTTGTGGCAATAGATCAGGAGGCTTTACAAGTCTCCCACTCCTTAGAGGGCTGTGATACTGAAGGCCATTGACAGGCTTTATGTGCTAATTGCATTGCGCCTGTTAGCCTAACGTTTTGTTATCCTTCAGGACTTCGAACTACTTTCAACCATTTTTCACCAATCATCCAAGAAATATTTCCATTTAAGTGAGTGTAAAATGGTTTCGTATGTTACGACTTGTTATTTCAGTCTCTTGTTATAGCAGCGATTGAGTTTGAACACAACAGCAGACACAGTCTTTGGTTTTGGGTCCCCTCCTGAGCTTAAAGCAGCTCTGTGACAGAGGTAATTTTACATGATTTGACTGCAGCCTGGTGCATTATCTCTGTGGAGCTGGATGAAACATGAAGTTAGTGCTCTGTACACCCAGTGTGTTCCTGGGATGGACAATGAATGTCAGCTCCAAAATGAAGGAAATTGTAATCACTCACTGATGTGCATGATTATGTCCTACAATGCTAAACGAGACCTGCAGCGTTTCTCCATCCCTCCCTTCCTTTTTTTCTTTCTTTCTTTCTTTCTTTCTTTCTTCCTTCCTTTCTTTCTTCCTTTCTTCCTTTCTTCCTTCCTTCCTTCTGATAGATAATTGACCCTTTAAAGGGATCCCCTGATGCCCAAGCTCATCCACCATTAGCACAGCATCGCACACACACATGCGCACAACCAAATATGTTGATTTCTGTCAATTAAAACCCCATCAGCTGTTTGCCTCCTGCTAGACATATGGCCCGTGTTAAATCTAAAGAGCAAATGGAGCCTCCATTGAGAGGGGCATCATTTTAATGGAACCCTGAGGGACAAGACCCACACCTGCGTGATAATAACATTAAACCATGCTCAGCCCACTGGCCAGATGAGGACAGTGTTGGTGTGTGTGTGTGTGTGTGTGTGTGTGTGTGTGTGTGTGTGTGTATACATGCACATGGCTCTACTGTATCTCATTTCAACCTCACCTGCAATTGTTTGGTCTGTTTCTAGAACCCACAGGTATGTTTGGTTTGAATCCTTCGCAGCGATATGTTTTCTGTTTTCAGAGCCACAACAGCAGAAAAGAGGCTCAGGCTGTTTTCAGAGTCTAATATTTATTATATAACCCTGAGAAGCAAAGACACAAAGACACTCCATCACTGCAAACCAGCTCTCCCCTGCAGTCAGAGTGAGAGTACAGATTTTTCTTCTTTTGCCAAATGAATGGTTATGGAGTTCACAGGTCCTTAGTCAGAAACAGAGACAAATATCTGAACAAATGTTTAGAAATATAATTTTAGAAAACAATATGGTGCTACGCCTTTGGCACGGAGTGTCAGATGCTTGGTTTTAAGGCAAGAACAGAACAGATAAAACACTGATGGGGTAAATATAGCACGCCTTTTCAGTTCACCCATAACAAATGAAAGTATATTTATTAAACATGAATGTCTGTGCGTTGCTGTTAATGAGAATGACTTTACTTCTCCTAATATTTTTAATATTAAGACGAGTAAAAGTATTTCTTTTAGCTCCCAGTGTTCTCATTATTTTTTCATAAATCATTTGCCAGTAAAATCTGTTTTGTACATTTTGTTCAAACAATTCAAAACACAAAGAAAATCTGTTTACTAATGCAAGAGATAGAAAAATCATTAACCAAAAATGGGAGGCTCTTATCGCAAAATGTTTTCTGCTACTGCTCATAAAATCATCAATTAATCAGAAATATCAAACAGTTGAGGATGAATTATCTTACCGTCTCATCTCACCTGAAACAAGCAAATTTGAATTACAACATTCAGTGCATCTCTTGCTATATGATCTTGAAAAAAATGAATACTTGAATACTGGGGTGAATAAATTAGGTGACTGGAGCAGTAAATTACAAATAAACACAGCCCCTTTGCTATGTGTAGCAGGTATGCAGATCTAGGGTTGCGGTTTATTTGTGTTATTAATTAATCTCAAATTTATTATCCCGATTGA